ATAAATTATCATCCGTCTCTATTAACCTCTTTCAAGAGCTGCTTTTTCGAAATGTAGGGTGTAATACACCATTGGCTATGTATAAATCTTCAAAGCAGGTAGGCCCGGTGATATGACATAAAAGCAGGCGTAGGTAGTATCTCTCTCCTTCAGCTGGATTAGCATAAACAAGTCGACCAACCATTGATTTATGTTCCCGAGTCCTTCAACAATGGTTGATCTAATTCCATGTAAAATGTTTGGGAAAATCCTTATACAAATATTCTCTCACTTTGGAATCTTCATTATTCTTCTTGAAAAATGCCGTCAACATTGAATCTTTTTCTTTCTCCCTATCAACAATGTCTTCCATCCTGTCACCGTCTTTGAACCTAACCAACTGTTGATTCGGGAGATGTATTTGCAAGGCCATCACACAAGGGTGGATTTTTGAAAGAGGAAAGCTAAAAACTTGCCATAATGCCTCGGGAGGGGACACATAACGTGCATCTTGAAACTTTTTTTTATCTCATTAATAACAACATTTTCTTGGTCTTTATCAATATGAATAAATTGTTTGTCATGGCCCTTATAAACATATTTGAAGAGGTACTTCACAGACTTTATACTCGAACAAACCTCAACGTTGATATGACAATTAAACATCATTAACAACTTCGGGTTGTATGGAGCCACCCATCTGTTATCCAATGATGTATTTCTTACAGTAACCTCAATTCCATTATTTCTCCTTCTATATAATGGATATGAGTCCTCTCCTTGTGATGTCTTTTCATTGAATTGCCTAGGATATCTGAAACGACATATTTTTGGCACACCCTGCATACACGAACTTTTTTCTTATAAGCTACCATAGGGACCGTGCATCATGTGACTTTTGACAAGATCATGCATTTCAGGAAACCTTATTGGATCGGGAATTTCCGCACACACAAGTTTGTCATAATCGTTTGCTTTATTCATCTTATATCCAGGGGTCATTATTAAGAGGAAATGTGCATGTGGCAATCCACACTTTTGAAACTCTATCACATACACATATGACCCCACCACACCGATTATATGTCTCTGCAATAACTGTACCTTGAGATCCTCTAACTTAGCATGAAAAACTCTTGCAACAAGGTCCGATCGATCTTGAGCTGACTGTCCAAGCAATAACTCATCATCGATTTCTTTCCATTTTGGGTTGCACGCCATTATAAGAAATATATCAGGCCTCCCATCATCTTGAACTAAAGCCATGGCATCCAGAAATCTCCGGCGCATGTCACGTGGACCTCCAATGAAACTTGCAGGTAACACAACTCTCTGTCCAACCCTACTTGGTTGAGCCTCACCGGCATTGAAACAATCAACAATGCCCTGGTATAAATTAGCTCTAATTTTGGTTTGGTTCTTTTCAACAAAAACCAAACGTGTAGTCTCAATCTTTATATAGGTATCTACTACAAACTGCTGGAACAATCTCCCTCCCATCAAAATCACATTATCATTCGACCGTATCTGGAACTTGTAACAATAGTACTCCCGCATACTTACAGTGTTTCTGCCTTTTTTTTGAAGTAGATCCTGTGATATCATAATTTATGTGAAAAATATAAATGTAATATCCAAATATTTAAGGCAATACTTGTTACATGTTTTAAATGTATAAAAGAATGTTAAAGGCGTACCTTCTGAACCTTCATCATTGTCTTCATTGTCACTATTAATTTCATCCATGGCCACCCATATCTTGGTATTTTAGGATGCCATCAGACTCACCATTGGGAAAGAATAAAGGATACGACAAAGGATCATAACAACCAAAGTGAGGTTGAATTTCAGTACTATAGTTAGACCTCCCGTAGACAATAATACTTCTTTTATATGTAGTGATGTTGTCATTTCTTTCAACCCAAATACCATCAACCTATGCAAAGGTGTAGTTCAATATGGTGATTAATATGATATGTATAATAATAAATATGAGACATTTAATTTTAAAATGAATAAAGTTAAATGTTACTATTCACACCTCAGATGTGGTAGGCTTATTGTACACCCTTTGGTCAAGCTCCACCGATGCATTCAAAGTCACTCTATAATTATCAAGCGGTCCTAGATCAGAAAGCTGTTTAAATGTTCTAACGTACGAATTCGAAGCTAGAATACGTGTTATTTTTTGGATGATTCTTCTATCAACATTCTTCCAGGAGGATCTCTGTGATATTTCAGCTTCACCGTCATAAAAATACAACTGTAAATACCTCGATTTACCATCCCTTGAAATTAAATGATCGATATTATGATAGAATGTTCTGTGCGCACAAAAAGTGTAAACTCCAAAATTCATATTCGTCAATTCTTTATCCACATTTACACCTAGTGATGCGAAAGAAAAGTTTGAGTTATACGCCCTTATATTGTACCTGAAGCTTTCTTCTAGCTGCTCTTGCCTTGTAAAGAGTTGGTGCAACTCTATGGGAATAGGGGAGTGTGCAAGTTTTGTCTTCCCACTCATGCAACAAAAGGTAGGGAATTCATATTGTAGTCGCTTTGCTCCACAATAAACACAAGGGTTTTGAGCCTTTAATATACGATGTTCCATACGGATATTTTCGTAAACAAAATCATACGGATCCTCCTGAAAGGCGTATACTCTTCTTTTTGTCATCATAGTTCGTTCCTTTCTTCGTTGATAATATTCTTTATTATAAGTACTCGTCCTCTGAGCAGCACTTATAACACTCACAGAGGAATCTTCGTTGATATTTTTTTCGTTTGTCTCCATTGTAGTGCAACTTGTGAGTGCTGTAGGTTGACTACATCCTTCACCGTTAGCTATCATTCTCTTTTTGTTTTTCTCCTTTTTTCGTGCATAATAGTTTCTATTGTATCTTTTTCGATTTTCTACAAACATATTATTTGGATAAATAGTTATATATTATAAATGAAAACATATACTCATATAAACGACATACCTTTTTTCTATATCTATCGGGTTTTGGGAATCATCACAGTTTTCGTTTCCCTTATCTACAGTCCCCATTGAACACTATAATGGAAATGTTAAGAATAAGCACATATTATATCATCAAGAATGTAACATTTTGTAATGTAGACCATGTGATTTAGTAGTCATGTATGTGTGTGTTTCAAAAAGCAACACAACCCTTAATAAATAACCAAATATACTAACAAATTGTAATCCAAAAACACAATAGAAGAAAGTTATACATAATTAAAAGAAAATTTCCATAGATATCCAAAAATTAATATTTATCAATTCATAAGTCAACACAAGAAAAATAAACCATACATGAAAAAATTCACCATAATATGTCTAACATTAATGTAGATCAACAATAAAAGCAACGCACTCGTAAAAGTTGTCAAAACTTCAAAAAAAAACACCACCAAATGTCTCACACGGAATTAAAAATTCTTCTAGGCATATTTATGATGTTAAATGCTTCCGGCATCCGCGGTTGGAACTCTACGTTGCTTAGTTTGGTTGATATCAAAATGTTCACTGAAAATAAGATAAAAACTATTAAAATGTATTGATTTAGGTATTTTAATATCACTACAAGCATTATAATTTTCTAGAAAAAACTTACTTGAATCCAAATGAACCAATTTCACCCGAGAAACAAATATTATATACTTTCTCTCTATCACATAGACGGTCCTCACAATTTGATGGCGTGTTCGGTCGGTTATATGTAGTTTCATCTTTATTATACTCCCTCTATTTATAATCAAATATTTCCAAAGTCACCTAATTTTGCTTTAGTGTAATAATAATAATAAAATAATAATAATAATAAATAATAATAATAATAGTAATAATAATAATAATAATAATAATAATAAACACTTACGGCCCATCTTGGAGATATAAAGTGAAAGAAGTTAACGTCAGTAAACCAGAGTAACGGGAATAGTTTCGCTTGCCTCTGATGATTTTTCCAACAATATCTAAAAATAACGATAATTAAAAGGACAACTTGTTATTATTTTAAAAACTTTAGAATGCTAAAAATATATACAATTTATTAAATTTACCGATCATCATTTTTCTCTCTCTCCGATCTTCTACTAAACTTTTTATTGAGGGAACCAATGGGAAAACCGGAAACCATGATATGATAGCATCGGCCAAATGATTAAACCGTGTGTTATTGCTGATCTTTCCCATCGATGTCACCCTTCACAAGTTTAGAGTAAAACTCTTTCTGCACTTTCCCACCAGTCAAAGTCTCCACCTCATCAATGAAGGCAACTCGAAGTGCTTCATTTCTAGAAATAAAAAATATCAAAGAATTAGTATTATTAGAAAAAGAATATAGAATCATAAGAGGAAATTATATATATATATATATATATATATATATATATATATATATATATATATTTGACTTTTGTAATAACAGTGCAATATCAACAGCCTCTGGTTTTTGTTCTTCTTTTTGCTTTCCATAAATTTGACATGTGACAATGTATGTGAATTTAAGGTCAGCTTGTGCTCTTGCTTCAGGAGAAAACTCAAAGCCTTTTGTTTATGTTGCTTCATTAGGTGGAATAGCATATTCCACACCTAGTGTAATATAAGTATATTAGAAAATAGATTAAAATAAAAATTAAAAAAATATTATTTTTAAAACACAAACCTCCAACTATCATCTTCTCCAGATAGGCTTGTAACATTAAAGTTTTTATGTAATACATCATTCCTCGCACTGTATATATTGTACAACATACAAAAATTAACAAAAACAACATTTAAATTAAATGAAAAAGAAAGGGCTTACAGTTCTTAAAAGTTTCTATAATATTACTTTTTAGTATTGAAACAGATGAACACTAAAAAATATTGAAACCAAAATCTTATTTCACCATATTCAACATATTTCTCATTGGTTATAAAGCACTAAAAGGTGGATATGCATATCGACGAACCACCCTGCAACCTCTAAACATGGAGCATAAAAACTGAATGTCTAACAATTCTTGTATGATATCATATGTGGAACGATAAAAGAGGGGCTAAATTTAAGAATACATTGCCATTTCTTGCATTTAACCAATTAAAAATACCTGATGAAATGGAAATCTATACAAAAAAGTGATTCTGTTAATTGGTTCCCAAAAGGTTACTTAATGGTTGCTTTTAAGATGAAGGTTGTTTTTGAGATAGATGCCTACATCAAACAAAGAGAGAGTAAGACCATTTATGTCTGCAACCCTAAATAAAAATACTTGAGTTTTATACTTGTAGCCCTTAACATCTGTGTCTTGCAGTGGAACTGCGATTGGATACAATTCTTCACCCAACTTTTGAAAACAAAATATCTACTGGTAGAAGAATTGTATCTGCAACCCTAAATAAAAATACATGAGTTTCATACCTTTTTCACCCCACCATGGATAAAAACAACATCAGGAACAACACATCAAAAACAACAATGCAACCCCATCCAATTCCCCTACAAACAAAATCAAGAACTACACGAAAGTGAACATGAAAACAGCTTTGTTCTATCATCTCTCGGTCCACTTCTCAAAATTCATTACTACTCTAACCTGAAGATGAAAAAAATTATATAGAAAACATAAATAAAATAAACACCTTTTAAAAAAAAAACTTCAGATCTAACATAGGAATTCCATGGAGTGGTTGAGGAAATCGCTGAAGTCGCTGGAGGTTTGAACCAGAGAACATTTGTGATGTGAGGGTGTCGAATGGTATTAGGGCACAAGGGGTAAGGACGTCAAGAAGAATCATTCATATTTCAATTACCTGCAAAAGAGACAAATATAGATAGAGGAGTCAAAATTAGAATGAAAATAGAAACCAGATGAGGTGCGGAGAATGAGTAAGGAAACCTGAACATTTTTTATGTGTGGGTCTCTTTTGCTATGTTCTTCGTCGGGATGGCAGAGATGTCTCCAACAAAGGATGATCGATTTCAGGTTGACCTTCAAATCAAATCCTTAAACTACCAAATCCGATCGATTACCACGAATGAAAATGGAACTTGTAGGCGTTAGAGATACACACAAGCAGGTGATGGTTAGGGTCGAAGTAGAAACGATAGGAGTGACGACTTGGCCAACAAGACGGGTTGAGATAGCGATTTCCAAATCTGCTCAACATCTAGTCAAGAAACAAAAAGAAGCCTCAACACCGTTTAGGGGGTTTTTTTTATGTGTGTGTGTTTGTGTAAGAGAGAGAGAGAGAGAGAGAGAGAGAGAGAGGTGATGGAGAAGTGGCAGAAGAGATTGGGAGAAATGATGGCAGCCTTGGAACTTCGGTGGGAGACTGAATATCACCGCATCTTTGGTGGAGAAGATGAGAATAGTTTTGATGGTGGCTGTGTTTAGGAAATTAGGGTAAGGTCTAGTGTAGTGTATGCGGTATTTGTAATACATATACGATGTAATAGATCCGTGTAGTGTAATAGGTATTAGATTGGTTATATGTTTATGCTTAAAATCATTGTATATGAGGTAATATATGTTGTACCTCTTAATTTTCAAGAAGTGGGCAATATCCTTAATAATATAGTAAAGATATATATATATATATATATATATATATATATATATATATATATATATATATATATATATATATATATACACACTAATTTACATGTGCTACATGAACAGTAACTCTTTCTTGTTGGCTGAATTTTTTTTGTATTTTTTTTTGTGTAAGATTGTTATTTAAGTGTTTTTTTTAATCCTATCTTTTTCTGTAGGTGGGGGAGTCATGCTGCGTGTCCCAGACACATGCATGTCAATTTGCTCATACGTTTTGTCACCGTATACGTGTTTCTTTTTTCTTTCTCTTATATTGTCGAGTCATCCTCCACCGCCTCTGATCTCGATTTTCCGGCTCCAGCCTCCTCAATTCTCTTTCAGCTTTACGTCTCCCCCATTCTATTTTGCCGTAAATTCACCGGGGTTGGTTCAACATCGCTACTATCGCTGCCTCTAACGCTCACCCCGCCATTTCAATCGCTGAATTCCAACCAACACCTCCACCAAGCGAATCAATTCGACCGCTCCACAAACCCTACTCTGCAATCCAGGTTCGATTCCATTGTCAACCGCCATCGCCTCCTAAGTTCTACTCCTCATTTTGTTCTTCGTTGTTCGTCTCGCCACCATCGCCCTCACGCATACCTTCACCGCTGACACCGTTGATCCAATTTAATTTTCCTATGACTTTTCTCCAATAATCGTTGCATATGAGTCCCATGATTCTATGCCCTTTGTTGGAACCATAATTAGAGTTATGCGGGTAAATAAAAATCATTAAAAGTTTAAATAGCTTCCAATATCCCTACCATATCCTCCTCCACCACTTCTCCTCTACTTTTCATCTATACTCTCCATTTCTTTGATATTTTCTCCCAGGAGCACGAGAATCGTTTACTGTTTCGGGTCGCATCAAAGTTCCTTCGATATGATCCCCCAGTTTTGTCGTTGTCGTTATGTCTAATGTTTGTCCAGTGTACCCTCCACTGCAAGCGATTGTTGGAATCTCCATATGTTAGTTCCGAGATTTGGGTCTTAACCACATGTTCCGGAAAACCCTAGCGTATAATCGACCTGCCAGAACAGTAGGCATTTGATTCGATTTTGGGGTTTTATTGAAAGTTTAATCTTGGGTTTTCCAACACACCATCTAAAAGAACTGAAGATGGAAACCTGATTTTAGACAGATGAGGTAAACTCGATATCTCCTCCCCCAAATTTCATCGAAATATACTCCGACTTCTTAGGCCTGTTTGGAATAAACTTCGTATAATCGACCTGCTAGAATAGTAGGTAGTGGATTTGATTTTGGGGTTTTCATGAAGGTTTAATTATGCGTTTTCGAACAATCATCTAAAAGAGATGGAAACTTGACTTTATACAAAATAGGTAAAGTCTCACCATTTGTTCCCTTATTTTTTTAGTTATTATGATTTATGACATTTTATTGAAATAAGAACTTTCTATTCACACAAACCATTTGTTTTTTCAGTAACAATATTAATTTCCTTCAATTGGTTTGCATAAGCCATTTAAATGGATGGATTTTCTCATATTTGATGGTGGGTCATGAACTAATAAAAAATAGTGTTGTTATCCTTGTGTATTGAATCTAATTTGAATAACAATATATTACCAATGAATAGGCTCTACGATTTACTCCAACAAATGTAAAAGGCTTCGGCAAAAATTTTGTGGCAACGTTATACGTTAATCACACAACTATATTACAGGTTCTTTTGAATCTCATTGTTAATTGAAGGATTCATTTTTTTAGACTAACATGTAAGGTCCATGAGCTTTTTTTGCTTCTATGTGGACATAAATGGAACATATGACTGACATATTATTTGATATTACAGGTTTTGGGTGCAATTTGTTTTTCAAAAGTGGATATAATATATTTGTTGTGTATCCCATCTCGGTTACAGAAAGGTCCCATGAATCTTTATCTGTCAAAAAGGTATGTTTTTTTGTTCTTTTTTTCCATTTTTGCTTTCTACTTCTTGAAAAAAGCAACTCACCATTAAAACATATATTAATTATTATCTGTTGTCTTCTAAATATTATACTTTTATTTGATATTATTTATGCGCTTCAAGACCAATGTCTGTTCAAAACGATCTCCAAGTTATTCATCCGTTGCTTTTTTTGTTAATTTGAGGTATTATTTCAACAAAAATAAACATTTATTAATTGCTAATTTCGAAACGTATGTAAATTGAAGATTTATTTATTTATTTATTTTTTGTTTTTTGTTTTTTTTTTTTTTGTGGATGAAGCTACCAAAGTTAGCAAGATCGGAACATAAGAAGCTTCTTGCATGATTGTAACTATGAAGGTGAAGTAGCCCATACTGTTTATTGACCATTATGCCCCCGATCATTTAAAAGTTTTTTTGGCATCATTTTGGCTTTTACTTTTTTTTAGGTTCATATTTTTTTTCATAGTAAAAAGTACACAACTCATAAAGTATTTTTTTTGGATATATATATATATATATATATATATATATATATATATATATATATATATATATATATACCAAAAACGATAATGTATTTTAGTTTTTTCTATAAAAAACTGAAGAGCGTTTGCTTTTACTATTAATCTGGTTTTTATAAATTACCCTATCACAATATATAAAGGTTGGTGATTATTTAACTATTTTGAGGTTGGGAAAAATTTAAGTGATGTGAGATGGAATGGTGCATTTGATAATAAGAATCATTACAAGTTTTGTTAAAAATTGAGGTGTTATTACAACAAAAATAAACATTTCTTGATT